ATGTCTAGTTCTCCTAATGCACCTTCATTAATTACTGAGTCGTGTGGCTTTCATTTTAATAAATGAATTCACACTGGACCATATTGCAAATACCAGATTTCATAGGATGTTAGAGTTTTTAGAAAATCCATGCACAAATGTGACATTGGTCCCTGCTATTCTGCCTTTCCTGAATATAGGTTATTTAGGCTTATTTATAGTCATATTTGTTTAAACTTGGATTTTTAGTAATTGTATGTATTTACTTGCAGTGTGCTCTTCTAAATAGAAATTTAACCATCAACATTTTAGGGTGTGATGTTTCATTTCATGTAATCCAATTGTGCACTCTGGGGGTTTCCTGGGCACTGTGTCTACACATTACAGGATCTTGACTTGGGTCGTGTATGCATTTCTGATGTTTGACTAAACTCTAAAGATCAGTACAGGGTACCAGTAAATTGTATTCAGCTGAGCTTGCTCACTTTTGTTTTCTTTACCCATTAGTACCTAGAGGATTGCACAGTATTACTAGATTGAGCATTGTGCCTTAACTATTTATAAACTTTTCTGGTTTATAGTTTCACGTGCTGATATGTAACATTCCTTACACAGTAAATGGAGGGGGTTTTTAGATGCTTTATTAATGAAATGTACTGTGGTAAGAAGATAGGTCCAACCCGATGTTTGAGACTGAAAATTCTCAATAGAATGTGACAGATTTTAGCATTGTTATTAGACTTTATGTATGTAATCATATGTAAATATTTTTCCCGTCATTCTTGTAAATACAAATGTGTGTTTTTATATGAAGTAAATAAAATCAATTGAGGAAGATCAGAGTTTCAAATAATGTTGTCAGTTCTAATCCTGGAATAGATGGTGACTGAGCAGTGAGAGTACTTCAGAAGACAGTTAAATTTTGGCTTGAGTAACTGAAGTAGTTCCATTTACTGCCTTTGAACTCATGGCTGTTATTAATCTCAGGGCTACAAAGCATCTAATGTAAGAGAGGACAGGATGTGAGAGGGACTGGAGGTGCAGAGCTGTGAAACGTGTGACTGAGATGGCTTTTCACGCAGCAACTTGCTATTTTAGCTGCTTTGAGTGCCTGTGCTCTGTGCGGCGTTGAAAATCCCCACCATGGCTTTCTTCACCAAGATCCACCGATACTCTTTGAGTGTTCCCAGACAAAGTGAGCCCTGCAGGATTTTGCATGGCTACCATTATAGTACTTGAACATTTTCTCTGTTTAATAGGAAGATTCTCTGCTCTTCTCTGCGAATAATAGGTAAGTACAGAAAATAGGTGCATCTCTTTGAAGGAGTCCCATCAAAAATGGCCAAGGTAGGACAAAATCCTTACAAAATACAGAGAGAGCACTGTGGATGAAGACTTAATAATAGAATTACTGGATTCATGCTACAGTGTGTGTTCATGTTAAGAGATTGTGGGATAGTTGGTCTGTGCAGGATTTGAAGTAAGTGGGAATGGATGCCCCGAGCTAGGGCAGTCGGGCTTTGTTCCATGGCCTTTGTTTCAACTATACTGAGTGGAAAAAGAAAACAAATGCATCTGGAAACCCTGGCCAAATGAATAGTGTAAAGAAAGATAAACCAGTCAAGATTCTAAGTGCAACATAAAAACTATGAATTTAAAAATCTCTTGATGACTACTTTTGGCCAAGCAGCACTAGAAGGTGTCAGAGAACTTCCCTTTAAATACAAATTCTGTGATGAGCTAAACTCAACACTTGAATGTTCACCTGAATGTTCAGGTGGTTTTCAAATGGTTATTAAAATTTTCTACAGCCAGTGATACATGCAGCTAGCTGTGCCTGGGGTCTGTTCTTCCCACTAGCAGAAATACACAAAAGACTTCATTTTTTCCCCATTCCAGTAGCCTTATGTCCTTCAGTTAACTTTTCATAGGAATTGGCAGTGTTGTGCAAGACAAGTGTCTAATCAGGCTTCTACTGAAATGTCACAACATCCAACCTTCTTATTTTTAACTTGGGGCGAATCAGTATTGCATCAAGAAATGTCTGGTAGTTTTTCTTTATATAGCCTTTGAATTTTGTAAGACAGCTCAATGGCGATGGATGCTTGGCAACATTTGCAAACTGAGTTTGCATTTCTCTGCCTTTTGGGGTGAGGTGGCACATCTCGCTGTTCGTTAGTTTGTGCTGTCTGTAAGGTGCTTATTGCTGGTGAGGCTGGGCCATCCCCACCCGAGAAAAACTTGGAAATTGGAGCAGTATCCAAGCACACTTTTGCTGTGTATGGTTTCTGAACAAAGGGGATTGCAAATGGTGCAGGGAAGCTCCTCTCCTATAAGTCTTCATGTGGACACTGACAGCACTCTGAGATCCAGTTCTGATCTGTGCCTTTCTCCAGAAGAGCCATGCTGTGCTACGCTGCAATCAGTGACTCTAGTCTGTGTGTGTGTAGGCTGCTTCAGTGCAGACAAAATTCACTGATTAACTGCCATTATAAAATGTAAACTCAGCTGACTAGGCTGCTTTCTGGGTTTGTTTTCTCTCCTGCACAGAAACACTCTGCCTTTACTGCTGCACTACCTGGAATTACTGTGTAGGCATTTCTACAGATGTACCAGAGATAGCTTTAATACTAAGTAGAAACTTGTTCCCACAAGCAAATTTTGACTTGTCATTTCCTTTGCCATTTGTTCTGAACAAGAACAGACTATTCAGGCTCAAGGGTACTGTCCCCTGGCTTGTCCCATACTTGTGGTGTCCTGGAAACCTTATTCTGCAGCTGCTGGCTGCATGCTTGGCAGCATTGCTCCTAGAACAGCCCGAGAGCTTCATGTGGGATCAGTTCTAAAGTCCCTCTGTGGAACAGGCTTTGTTGTCCCACAGATCACACTGAAGGGCTGTTGAGGTGTTTTATCTGCATGGTTCATGGGTTTTATTGCAAAAGACTATACCTGTTCTTCGAGCTTACAAAAATACCAGCTCCTAGTCCTGTTAATTTCAACTGTGCTTTAGCTACAAAGGCAGCAAGAGTTCAGTTGCTCCTTTTTATGCAACTGTCCCGATTAAGTCTCTGCTTGTGCCCACACTTCTTTAAGTGCATGACGTGTAGTTAATGCAAAATTGGACTGTTTCACTGTTTTGAAGGAGCAGTTGAGAGCAATTCACCCTCTAATAACTCACTGCCTGGTGGCTAGGACTGCCTTCCAGGAGATGCCGGTTTGGATCCCCTCAGCTGGAGAATGGCACTGAACCCACACCTTCTGCCACCTCCATGAGCACCCCCTTGGTGAACATCCTGCTCTCGGCATGTTAGATGACAGAGGAAAGGAGAAAAGAAGCAAAAATGATTTTAAAGTAACCAAGGAACATCCTGTATGATGTGTGGGAGACCCAGTGCAGCCTGGGGACGTAGCTGAGGTCAGGGTATTTTGGCAAGGGTGCCCATCCCAGTTGTGGTCCCCATGGCTATAAGGGTGGGAGAGACTCACAGCTTCTCAGAGCTCCTCTGGGATTGGAGGAGCTCTGAGAAAGTGCAAAAGCAAAGTTGTGGGTAGCCTGGAAGATGGAGACACAAGATGCTTTGAGGTGGAACAGCTGGGGAGAAGTGCTTCCCACCAGGGAAGTCGTGCTCAGGTCTTTCAGTCATCTGATGATCCCAGAGCCTACCAGGAAACATGTGGCAGAGTGCAAACTTCTGTTTGACTCTTGGACTCCTGGGCAGCACAGTTCTTTCACCTTCAGCATGAACTGTTAGCCAGATCTTCCTGAAAGGATAGTCTATATTTACTCACTTTTCAAACATTTTAACCTCATCTTCGTCTAAGCTAGATGACTCAGGCTTCTGAGGAAACCAGAAAAATAGGGAAGTATCTGATTTATTAAGATACCTGGGGCTTTATGACTGACTGCCCTGCAGTTTGGGGGCGTGTACCCTCCTTGCATGGCCATGTGTTTGCCCCTGTGAGTAGAGCACAGTCATGAGGGCACATTAGTTACAAATACTTCTGCAGTAGAGCATGGATGTTGTTGAAGTACCTGTCAGTGCAAACATCCCTTTCAGAGCAGAAGGCCAAGGTAACAGTGCAATTAAAATGCAAGGAAGGTGTTCAAAAGGGTAAAAGAAACATTGTTAAGTCTGTTAAAATACTCTCGACAGAATAGTGAAACAGATTTTTGTCTGCAGCAACTGTGTTTTCAGCAAACCCTGTCTGGCTTCGCCTTTACAAGAAGTCTGTGGCATTTCCTTATTATTTAAAGGAACAGGGCGAGTAGCGAAAGTGAAAATCTCTTTATCCCAGCACGGATGCCGTGTCCTCACGCCCACGACCCCGGGCTGAGCCGGCTGTCCCGTATCTGGAGCTCCCGCCGCGAGCCGATGTCTCAGGAGCGCGGCGGGCAGGAGCGGTCGGAGGTGAGCCGGGAGCGGGACACATGGGGGGGGCACAGCCGGCTCCCAGGGGGGCAGCCTGACCTCCCGGCACCGCCGCCGGCAGGAAATTCGGGGAGAAGGGAAACTGCGGGGAGCTTATTTCTTGCAGGCGAAAGAGCGAGTCGGGCCGCCCGGAGGGGCGTCGAGCCCAGCCGGCCCCAGAGGCCGGGGCTCTCCGGGGGATTTACAGGTAGCTCCTGCCCGGCAGCGCCGTGCCCCAGGGGTGCGGGCTTTCCCCCGGCTCCCGGGGGCTGAGCAGCCCCGGCGGTCCCGGGGACTGGACGCTCTTGCCGTCGCCGGGGGCTCAGGCCTGGGGGCGAGCAGTGCGGACCGGGGGATCCGGGCGGTCCCGGAGTTCCCAGTTCCGCGGGCGCGGCGCGGCTCCCGGCAGGCGCCATGTGAGGGCCATGCGGGCGGCGGGGCGGCAGCTCCGCCCCCGGGCCGGGGGGTGCCGGCTGCCAGGTGCCGGGGCGGTGCGTCCCCTGCCCTGTCCCGCCCCAGCCCGCCCTGTCCTTCTACTCTCTGCCCTCCCCTCCCCTGTATCCCACCCCCCGCGGGCCGGGGGAGCCCTGCGGGCGGCTCCGCAGCGGCGGGATGTCGTGCGCCGTCCCGGCGGCTGCGGCGGGGGCCAGCGCGCTGCCCCGGGGCGCGACGGCCGAGGGCAGCCAGCAGGTAGGGCCAGGCCGAGGGGCTCTGCGCTGCAGGCGGGCGGGCACATGGGGATGAGTCACGCCGGGCAGCGCCGCCTCGGGGGTGCCCGCTGCTCCTGGCCATCGGCACTTCTTTTCCCGGGAGGCGGCCGCGGTGCTGGCTCTTCCAGGTGGGAGAGCGGGCGAACCGCCGGCGGTGCGCGGAAAGCTGCCAGCCGCCGGGGCAAGGCGCGGTCAGAGGGTTTTCCACGGGCGCCGGCATCCGGGAAGGGAGCTGGGCTGCCCCGCCGACAGCGGGCGCGGGAACAGCGGGAGCCCGGCTTCCCTCCGCGCTGCTCGCACCTCCGCCCCGTAGGCAGCGCTGGGGCGAAGCAGGTGTCAAGTGCTGCCTGCTGGGCAGGTTCCTGCCGCGGGTGCCGGCGGTGCCCACGTTCCCCCATCGGCGGTAGCGCGTGTGCCCGCGGGGCTCTGCGGCTTCCCCCCGGGCAGCCCTGCGGGCTTCCATCCCTCCGCCTCGGGTCCCACCTGTGCAGTGGGTCATGGGGATGCTCTGCCCTTTGCAATGACTATGGGATCAGTGGGATGCCGGCGGTCGGTACTATTTAGAGTATATGCTCGTTCCCAGAAACAGTTGCACGCCTGAATTAGGGCATCTCCACATGCACTTTAAAAACTAACAAAGTGTTTCTGGCTGATGTGTTCCAGAGTCATGAAGAAGATGACAGGAAGGTAAGGAGAAGAGAAAAAAATCGAGTTGCTGCACAGAGGAGCCGGAAGAAGCAAACTCAGAAAGCAGATAAACTTCACGAGGTGAATGGGTACTTGGTGTTTTGCAAGCACAGCTCGGGTATTGAGCACAGGACTTTACAGTAAATGGGAATTCTTAAGCAGGTGTGAGCCAGTCTTCATGCTAACCCAGCTCAGATATCTGTGGGTGTGAGGCAGAGACGGGTGGGCTGTGGGATGCCTAGCTGGGAACTCCCAGATATTGATGCTCCTGTTGACAGTGCAGCTCTGCCATCAGGGACACTACCGGGGAGAGAGACATGGTCCTGCCCTCACCTCAATCTCCCTCGTTTGCTGTTCCTGTGACCACCCAATGAATGAGATCACAGGCTTCCTCTGTGATGAAACATACCCATTTTCCTCTAAATTAGGGTTAAGTTTGCCCTATTTGCTGTGGTAGTAGATGAATCCTTGTTGCCTTACAAGGGAGAAGGCGATGGAGGAGGAGACGACCATGCAGTGGCAGTGCTGATCTGAATCAGTTCTATAACTATGGTGCTACCACGGCCACTAATCAACATGGTCCCCAGAATACACAGTTCAAAAGGATTCGTAGGAACTTTATCACCTGCAACTGTGAGAGCTCGGCTCGATTAGCCGTTGTACTTGTATGCCCTGATAAATAACATTTTATGTTTCAAAAAAAAAAAAAAGTAACTGATTCTTCCAGAAACTCTTAATATCACAATGCAGTGTAGCTTTCTTGTGTCCCCAGTACAAACACTGGAGGACAGGAATCCCCTTTCTCTGGTTTTGGATGTTGCCTCACAAAAATGCTTCTGTTGTAGCCAGGTCAGTGTCAGCTTTTGGAGTGTCAGTTTTTAGGGTGTCAGTTTTGCTGCTGCAACTGTGGCTCAGTCAGTTGTTCAGCTCTGAAGGTTCATCACAGGCTTTTTGTCTTTCTCAGTGTGGAAGGATCTACCAACAGTCATGAGAGACCAAGAGGGACAACGTGGGGAGTTTTGGGTTTGGTTTTTCCCAGATCTCCTCTGAGTCAGCGCCTGAAAAAGCCAGGTGCAGAGTACTTCTGTAAAGGGGTAACCCCTGGCTTTTTTGGAATAATTTCTGGGCCCTGTGCCAGACTGCAGCCTCTCAAATATTCCTCCTGGACCTGAGCATCTTCCTTCTGCTGGGAATCTTCATTACCAGGCACACAGGTTTTCTGGCTGCAGGCAGATCTGGTTGAATAGGCATTCATTCTTAGGAAGAACAATTTGATAGTCTCACCCCTGAAAATGGGACAGAGAAATAGGAGAGTAACATATTCCAAAACTCAACCCCATGGGGTTTGGGGCAACAAGAGATGAGCACAACCAGAATCAGTGTTGGACACTTGGCTGGAGTTTGGGTACGGTAGTGTGTTAGGAGGACTGTGCCTGTTTTACTCTGTGTGTGAGAGGAGGGGTGTGAGGGAGGGCAAGGAATCCAAAGTTCTGATGCAAAGGGTAGCAGAGGCAGTGCCAGGCTGCCCAGAGGACCATTGCATGAGAGGCTCTCCCTCCTGCCTGAGAAACAAGCCTTTTAAGGCATGTGTAGGCTTTGAAGTTTGCTCTGAAGCTTTCCCAGGGAGGTGAGATTGAGTGGGTGAGTGTTGAGCCTTGGGCCAGCAGCAAGACACTTGCAAGTTTTCAGTGGGCTGACTCTCTTCTCTTTGGGATGAGAAGGCTTGGCAGCAGGAACACTTGAGACATACAGTTATCAAAAAATGTGACATGGGAGCCTTGCATCCATCACAGATGCAGGCTGCAAAACAACTCAAAACTCCCCTGCAGTTAGCAGCAGCTTATTTATTGCCAGAGAAGCCTTAGCTCAAAAGCAGCACAGGTCAGGGATAACCAAGGCCTTGTGGTGACAGAGTCTGGCAACAAGCTGGCATAACACTCCCCTCCTCCTGCTCCTGAGTTCTCAGGCATCTAGGCAGGGAGCTACAAGCTCTGGCCAGCCTGGAGGAGAGCACTGGACACCTTGTGCTAGGTGTGCATCTCAGCTGGCTCTGGGGTAAATGGCTTTTCCCTGCACTGGCCCAAGGCAGGGGCTGCTGTTTTCTCACCAGCAATGCCAGGCACCGGGTTTTCCCAGCATCTATCTGCAGTCAGTGCTTTCATTTTCTCTGATCTGACAGTGCAGAGTCCGGCTCAGCCCTTCCCAGCAGAGGCAGCCCGGGGCTGGAAGGGGCCACCATGGGGACACAGCTACCCATGCATGTCTGCAGCCCTGGGCTACTGGGGGACTCCTGAGGGCCAGCAGCACTTCCTGGTTTTCAGGGTCACAAGAGAAATTGCAGTGTGGTCAGGGCACAGGTTATAAAGCACTTGCCCTGTTATAGCACCCAGGCTGTGTCTGTCTTTCCTTAGCATTTTGCATGTTGTAGTAGGAAACCACACAGTTATGTGAATGTACTCAAGGTGGAAGCACTGAAATAAATGTTTTGACTAAATTATTTTTCTTTCCCCTCCTTCCAGGAATATGAGTCTCTTGAGCAAGAAAATACCTCCTTAAAAAGAGAAATTGGAAAGCTAACAGATGAAATGAAACACTTGAGTGAAGTGTTGAAGGATCATGAAAAGATCTGTCCACTATTGCACTGCACCATGAACTTTGTGACCATACCACGGCCTGATGCACTTGCCAGCTGCCTGCCAAGATGAGTGCTCTCCTCAATCACCTTTAAATGTGATGTGTGGAAGTGCCATTTACAGGACTGTTCAAGAACTGCCTACTCATGGTGCAAGTCTTCCATCTAAGAGGTCTGGACTTGACCACGCAGCTCTTCTCCATGTTGAAGTGTTATAGTCCTCTGAATCTCAGGATAACACCAGTAGGAAAAAAGATAATTGGAAGAGCAACTTCTTATTTGGTAGAATCTCAAGCCATGGTTTTGCATTCAGAAATGTCAAAGTGCCGTGCAGCCCACTATCGAGCGATGGAATGTATACAGGGAAAAGTGCCGACCTCGGACCGGGATGCCTTTCTCCTGCACATCTGCTGCCAGTGACCCTTTGTAACTTGTCATCCATGTATACCATATTCTGGCTGCTGTTTTTTATCTCGCTAAACACGTTTGGTTAATAAAAGCCATGTCCCATCTTTATTATGTTCTCCAACTTCTTCAATAATCAATGTCTTTACAACATCTCTACTGTTTCTTTGCTGGTCAAATCCAAAGTCTAATGCTAATCTTCTCATCAGTTGTTCTATCATTTGCTTGTCACCTTTTCATTTGTTCCTCTTTTGAAGTGTGTGTAACAAAAGAGTTTTCTTATCTTTATTTCTTTGTTAACCCAAATCAGCTCTGCTGACATTAGTTCTTGGAGTGTTTTATATCCCAAAATATGGCTTGACCAGTTTCTAATGATGATTGTCTGCTCTGTGTGGAGGAAAAGCAAACAGAGTTAGCTGGTTTTCACATTGTTTTAAAAATCAGATTTTAAAATTTACACTTTTTAGGCACCCACTGGAAATGAACAAATATCTTTATCCTTCCTTCATCTTGCTTATTGCTACTAAAAACTATGACCATGGATAGAACAAATTGAGTTCAGTAAGCATTTTGTTCTGTGTCCACACTGAAGGTGGTTGATAACTGCTTGCAAGAAAAACTTTGTTTTCTTTAAATTTTTCTTTTTAGTTACAAAAAAGAAGTATGACAATGTTAATGGGAAATGTACTGAAAAATGTGATTCCTTTCTCTGAAGGTTCTTATTAGTGTCAAGCTCTAGAAATGTGAGTGCTGTAGCCTGGAATCCAGCAAAGAGGGTTTTTCTCACAGTATTTTCCAGTCAAAGAGGGTCTTTGGATAATAAAAAGCTCCACCCCTTTGCCAACTCTCTCACTTCAGCATTTGGATTTTTTTTTAAGTTCAACTCCTGGGATTAATTTCTCCCCTTGCCAGGATCACAGTGTTTATCAGCAAAACATGATCTGAAATGTCTGATTTTTTTTGGTTTTGTTTAAGCTTCTTTAGTAGAATGTTGCATTGCTAATCACTGCCAAGGTAGAATTGGGGAAATGATGTAGTCAACTCCACCTCTTGTGACATTGTTTTAGGCTAGAAACTGAAGATAATAGGCATGAGCTGTTGACTTCTTTAAATATTTCATTAGGTTGTTCCCAAAAGAATTTGTGTCACCCTTAAGAAAGGAAGCTGTCTTGAGCATCTTCATCAACACATCCACATTCATTCAGGCCCTGGCTGCCACTGTGTAATTTGGGCAGAATAGAGATGTAATGAAGAAGGAGTAGCATGATGGAAATTAACAACATTCACTCTGGAAAAATTCATTATAGCCTAGGATGGAGGCAGAGGGAGAATGTCTCACATCTCATAACCAGGTATGTGCGACTGAGCCGAGACTGGAAAGTATCTAGTTGAGGTCAGGACTTGTACAAAAGCGTGGTCTCTTATATGGAGCCCTGTGGACCCTTGAAAATGGAAGGAAAGATCAACAACCTAATGCAAGACAGTCCATCCCACCAGAAACCTCTAAAGATTTTTGACCTATAGATGCTTACTTCTAGAAGTAGAGATCTAGTTCCCTGTGTAAAATCCTCCTCCTTACACATTTATTATTCTATACATCTGTCTAGAAACTGACTCCAGTTTATCGTTTGGCATATCCAAGTTCTACTGTACACTCCTCATCAGCAAACACTATTCTTGTTCTGCGATAAAAGTTCTAGTCCATGATTTCTGCCTTGGAGTGTACAGGGGAAGACAGCTGAATTCACAGAAATGTTTTGTGATGGCAACAGCAACCCAACTCCAAGGTTATGTTGCTCTTCTTTGGAAGAACTGGGAGCCTCGCATGGGCCCTCACTCTCCCCAGTTTCTTCCCACAACCACAGGGTGTAGCTCTAGCCTGTGGATCATTTCCATTACTAACAGCAGGCTTTGAACCCTCTGGAGCCCGGACTGCTTCTTCCTCCTTAATTTCTTGCGTCACTTTTTTCCCCCAGCAATATTTCCAAAGGGCCTTTTGCATCATTCTTCTGTTTAATAGATTAACCAAGGCATCTTGCCTATCAGGATACTGTGTGACTAATGTTCAAAGGCAGCTGGGATCCTCAAGTAAAAGAAGTGAGCAAAACGGGTGTCCCAAGGCAAATAATTCAAACATTTTGATATATTTGTAGAATTAACTTAAAGGCTGAATCATAGGTCAAAAAGGACAACAAACTGTTAAAGCACAGGCTTATGTACCCCTAAGCAATCGGTATGTATACATACTGATTACACTCTTTGCAGGAGCTGCTCATAAGAATATTGATTTACAGGAAGTCTCAAAACAGAAAGTGTGTTCTGGAGCCTGGGATAATTGTTACGTGAATAGGGAACCAGAAAGGAGAACAGAAAGGAAAAGGTCCATTTGTTAAGGAACAACAGAGAGTTTTTTCAAATCCTAACCTCTCCTTTTGCAGCAGAGTATTACACCATCACAAAAAATGTTTCATACCTATATATGGCTAAAGTACCACTTGACATACTCTAGCTTCAGAAAGCTTCCAGTTGGTTTGACTTGTTCCCCACAAAAATGTGGTCTGTATTGCATTCACGTGATTTTCAGAATCAGATACGTAGGGAAGATCTTTTATACATTCGGGTTGTGGTTCATGTGAGGCATACTGTGAATTGCAGTCTTGTTTGTGGATGCACATTGTAGATGAGGGCTGCTGAGAAAGCTGGATTTTGCCTCTTAGGCTCACAGAGAAGGTTACAGTTTGTCTAGATTCAGCTGGTGTGGATTTCTTTTTTGTATTTTCTGTGACTGATGGAGAAGCAAAATGCTTAGTGCAAACTTACCCACAGATAAAATTATTCATTCCAGGAGCAGACTGGGTCCAATTCAGCGATTTATCTATTAATTTCTTTTGGGTTTTGGGTCAGATTTAAAATGATCATATTTTAAAAAGATAATTTTAGCCTTCAAAACTAAAAAAAAAATCAACAGAAAGGCAAAGTCAAACTTCACAAAATTGTTTGTGTGAGTATAAAAGAGATCAATTGTTATACCTCAAGAGAGCTTATTAGAAAGCCTTGCTTCTTCCCACTGCTACTTTACATTTATGTCTGTGAACATCATGTACTCATCCAGAATTTTTGCTAAAAGTACATCTTTTAAAAAACAGATTTAAAACAGCCTATTCTACAGTCTTTCTGTTCTTTTCCCTGGTACCAGTTACTGTCATTTAGTGCTCCTTCTGCAACGCCTCTTGATCTCATCTGCATTTGGTATTTGCCTTTGTATAGTGCCACTTTTTTTTCCTTCTTCCTGTTTCCTTCCCTTCCTACATCGCTTGGTGACAACATCACTTAATGGAATCAGTATTAGAGGCTATCTCTACAGATTATCAAGGTTAATCTGCAGAAGCATATAGAAATTGCACTTCACTGGTATACCTTGTACATGATTAAAGGCTTTTATGTGTGGCCTGTTTGGTCAGTTGAATATTAAGGAAAGCATCTGTGCAGTCTTTTAAAATGTGCTTAAAAGTGATATAACCTTTACCCTAGCCTATAAAACCCATACTGTTTCCTGTCCATAGATGAATGCTTTGCTGCATGGCATTTGGGGTTTCCATATTTGAATCAGTCTAGAATTTCTGTGTCAGTGAAAGTGATAGATAAAAGAACCATTTAAAAAAATCCCTTTTCTCTTCTTCCCATCAGTGCAGTGATATAATTCCTCTTACAGTAAGGAAACATGTTTGACAAGCAGGAGAAGTGGTGGGTTTATTTACTGTTACAAAACTAATGTTTTTCTCTTTATAGGAGGGTAGGAATTTTCTGTTTGTAAACCCTGGATTACTGTCAAGTGGTCAGTGGAGAAACAACTTACATGTACAGACAGCATGTGCTGTGGGCACACATCCATAAGGGAGTGAAGGAATTCATTCTTTACAGAAATGTGGAATTTACCTTGATTTCACTGGAAGTAGAAACAGTCCTACAGCTGCCTCAGGGGACATGCAGCACTATGTTTACTCATTGGGTAATATTTAACTCAAGAACAGCTACAGGCTGACTGGAAGTTGGCAATTCTTAATAAAGAAACCATAGTAACAGTCATCCATGAGATTGCATGCTCCATTTATGGCATTCATTCAGGTTTTTTTTCCTAGATGGCTCCTATGGAAAAAATCCATAGTGATAGAGCAGGAATTTTTTCTTGCTGTAGAATTTTTAAACCATGACATCAAACGTAAAGGCTTGACTGCACTTAAAATGGCTGGCATAGCTTTTGCAAATAACCTGTCCTCTACTAGTTATGTGTTTGGTCTGCTCTAAGGGAATCATTATAGTTCTCTTTAGAAGTGGATAAGCTAAACCACAAAGGTCTTGGTATAGAATGAAAACATTCATTTGTGGAGTTAGTACTGAGTGACTGCCATGCTACAATGTCACAGCTTATCTCATCCTGAAGCAGCTTCTTCACGAAGCCAAATAGAAAATGACATTGGTAATGACTGTTTGCTTTACTTTTGCAGTAGAAGGGCTTTTATTGTATGTATTTAGTAAGTTCTATAGACTTCTAGTAGAGGTTGCTACACCCACCCGAGTACAGTCCCATTAAGTCTACCACAGACCATTCCACTCAGAACTCGGTATGGATAGGTGTCTCCAATCATTTGGAAGAACTTTCTCCTTTAACTGTCTCACAGTGAGGTTGTTGTCATATTTTCATTATTCTAAATTATTAAAATATCAAAACTTTTGAAATTCTAAGAAAGGGTTATAAGTAGTCTCTCCTGGGATAAGCTATTAAGACTTGTCTTGCCATTGTAAAGTAAATCTTGAAAATACTAGTCTGTTATCTGTCTTAGGTAAATAATTGAGGATAAGGAATAAGCAACAAGACTCTGCTTAAGTATTTGATGCAATGCTATACGAGATGCAATTTCTTCAGCTGGAGATGTTTTACAAGAATTGAAAAATAACCACAGAACTAGCTGAAGAAAAATGTCAAAAGTTATTTTGAAAAAGGAGCCATCAGGCTAACAAATTGTTCATAAATGGAGGTTCTCAAGGACTGATCACAGACCACTCTTGTTCAGTACCTTTGGTAAAGACTTTGGATACAAAGGAACCATTACTACAGAAGAAGATTGAACTATAACACAAAAGAGACTGCATGACATTGCAGAAGAGAACATAGATGACATTAATCATAGAATCATAGAGTCACAGAACAGCCCATGTTGGAAGGAACCTTGAAAGGTCATCTGGTCCAGCCTTCTGTGGGAAAGGGAACCTGTATGAGACCACCCCCCATCCTGCCACAATGCAAAGTATACTGTCACGTGAAGAACTATGAACAAGAATTTCTGTCACAAGGTGACAGTGCAAATGGAATGAATAAGGAAAAAGTTGTTAGTCAGTAACTGATGCTGAGGCACCAATGCAGTGGAGCAAAAAGGAAGTTAAACAGGAATTCAGGTGCATAGTGAGGGTGTTATTCCTTTGTTTGTGTATTTGTGTTCTTAAAGAGAGAAATATGAATGTAATTATGCAAGGGCCTGGCAAAACCTCATCTGAAATACTGCATACGTTTCTGCTCAACCATGATAAAGAAAGACGAAGCAACATCTTTATGTGGTACAAGCACATAAAAGGGCTGCTGGGAAGATTAGAGGAATGAGGAATCTGGTTTTTTTGAGACTTCTTTTATTTTCTATTTATTTTAGACAAGTTTTTATTTTAGACAAAGTCTGAAGAGTGATGAATCACTGTTTATGTAATTACAGCAGAGTAAAGTTCATGTAAGGGAAAGAGCTATCACAGAG